TGCGGGGGGTGGGAAGGGACAGACTAGGATTTTAAAATGCAGAATAGATAAACAAGATTATACTGTATAGCACAGGGAAATATAAACAAAATCTTGTGGTAGCTCATAGCGGGAAGAAAAAATGTGACAATGAATATATATATGTTCATGTATAACTGAAAAATTGTACTCTACACTAGAATTTGACACAACATTGTAAAATGACCATTACTCAATAAAAAAATGTTAAAAAAAATTGAACTACAAAGTAAAAAAAAAAAGAATATAGAAATTGTTCATCGATCGTACCAAATATGCCACACTGATGCGGGATGTTGAGGGTAGGGGAGTATATGTGTATGGATGGGGAGGGCTGTGTGCAAACTCTCTGTATTTTCTGCTCAATTCTGTTGTGAACCTGAAGCTGCTCTAAAATAATAAAATCTATTTTAAAAAAAAATGGAATCTGGAGTCAAAACCTCTGCACTCAAATCCAGCAGTACGCACCTTACTCAGCTGTGTGACTTGGAGCAAGTCACTTAACCTCCCTGTTCCTCAGTCCCCCATCTCTAAAATGGATTTAACATGTACATCACAGGGTTGTTATGAGGATTACATTCATTAATAATGGATTAATAATAAAAGTGCTTAGAACATTGCCTGAGATACAGTAAGTCTCATTTAAATGTTAGGACAGAATCAAGTATATAGCTTTTATTCTTTTCTTTGAGGCCATTAAAAAATAGCAGTTCAACCTACCTTTAATTTCTTCCACCAGAAGTTTATCACATATTTGTTTCTCATATGTTTCTACATGTTCCAAAGATTCCTGAAATAGATCTGCCTCTCTCATCACTTGATTCTGGTACAGTATCAGTTCACTATATTCATAGTCTATTTTGTTGGGAGGAACCTGAAAAAAAAAAAAACAAATTAGCTTATATAATTAGATAAAGCAGTTACAGATCTTTAATTGCTTTCTCAGGAAAGTCATTCACACAGACTTAAAAAAGCAATCCAAGAGCAGTTACAAACAGAACAGTGATTAACAGCAAATAAGATTAATATATTCTTTAAAACAAATAAAGAGGTGGGAACTTCTGCCTATGGTAGACTGAAGAGGTCAGCAAATCCCAGCACCAAAAAAAAAAACAAAAATAAAAAGTGGTTAAAATCATAAAGAAGCGACCAAAAACCTACTAGAACTAATAAAGGAGTTTAGCAGGGTGACAGAATACAAGGTCAATATATGAAAATCAATTACATTTTTATATACAAGCAAAGAACAACCCAAAAATGAAAATTAAAATATAAATAAAAATACAACAAAATTCATTCACAATAGCATCAAAAAGAACAAAATATTTAGGAATAAATTTAAGGAACAAGACCCATACACCAAAGACCATAAAACATGCTGAGAGAAATTAAAGGCCTAAATAAGTGGACAGACATTTCATCCCATGTCCATGGACCAGAATGCTCAATATGGTTTTGACGGCAATTCTTCCCAAATTGATCTAAACATTTAAGTGCAACCCCTATCATACTCTCAGCAAGCCTTCTAACAGAAATGGACAAGCTACTTCTAAAATTCAAATGGAAATAAAAGGAACCTTGCATCGATAAAAGAATCTTAAAAAGAAGAACAAAGCAGAAAGATAGGCACTTCAAATTTCAAACTTACTAAAAAGTTACAGTAATCCAGATAGTGTGTTAGTACCGACAACAGGATAGCTGTATAGATCAGTGGAACAGAATACAAGGTCTAGAAATAAGCCCTTATACTCTGGTCAAGTGACTTTCAACAAAGGTGCCAAGACAGTTCAATAGGGTAAGGGCAGTCTTTTCAGCCAATGATGGTGGGACACTTAAATATCCACATGCAAAAAATAACCTTAGACACACACTCCATACCATACACAAAAACTAACTTAAACTGGATCACAGACCTAAATAACTGTGAGAACTAAAACTATAAAAGAAATTCTTAGAAGAATAGAAGAAAATCTTCATGATCCTTTGCATAAAAAAAAATTGATAAATTGGACATTATCAAAATTGTAAACTTTTCCTCTATACCAACTTCAAAACAGTGTTTACCTCTAAGAAGGGACATGAGAGGACTTCAGCTGTTTCTGTAACATTTTATTTCTTTAAAAAATAATTAAATCTGGAGCAATCATGGCAAAATGTTAACATCTCTCTAATTTCTCTTGACACAGTGTATATTTTTTGTATTTTCTATTTTACATATATATTAAAATGTATTTATTAACATATATTTATATAAAATATAAAGCAATATACACTTGAGAAACAAGTCCCACAGTAACAAAACTATTTTCATCTTTACGTATTTTCTTTCCTTATTCACTTGAATATTGTTAAAATTATAGTATACAAACAATTTTATATAACTTGTTTTATATTAAGAATTCTATGCTTTAGCTTTTCGCAATTATTTCAAAAATTTGTGCAAATTTTCCATAGGTCTGAAAGACTGATTCATGTTTGGGGGTGGAGGCAATACAGAAGTTAAGTATTTCAGTTTGTGAAGGTAGGAGAAAATGTTAACATGAGGTTCTTACTTGCTGAGTTTGTCTAAATTCTTCCAGTAGTTTTAGTGCCATATCATAATCTTTCAGTAAATGGTATGCAATAGCATATCCAATCCAGGAAGTACGCTGTGTTGGGCGCAACTGAAGAAGCTGGTATCTTGTCTCCTTAAAAAAAAAAAAATTCTTTTGAATTTTTTTTTCCTTTTTTAAGTTTTTCTAAAATATAACTTACCAGAGTTCTAAGAAGACATATCTTTAATTCCTTTCTAATTCAATGAACAAACAATATTGAGTCCCAGAACAGAAATATTTTTATGCTCCTTATCTAAATTTAAGTTCTAGAATACTCTGTAAAGCTCACTCTAAGATTGTCTTAGAAAAGCTGTCCTTGGGGCCAATGCTTTTGGGCTGCCTCATAAAATTACCTTTGTATAAAGAGAATTTCATTTGACAACTAAGCAGCTTAGAAGAGAGATGAATACAGCTTTTTATTAAACTAGAATTTGCTGTTTATAAAATTATTATATGAAATTAGACCATATTCACATAATTATAACAGGCCTCAGGGATAGGATGGACACAGTCCGAGAAAACACTCAAACATGTGACTGTACTTTCCTAGCAGAAACACCACTGCTGCCTCTCGAAGACAGCTTAATATCTACAACATTTAAACACCAGAAATTCTACCATGGCTGCCCCAGAAGAATCAAGATACTGTCAGATCAGAAGAAAAGCCAACCTCCCTACACAGCCCCCACTTCCTCATAGCTCTAACCTGCCTCAAAGTCTTGGGCAAGTGCACCTGCTTGGGGGAACAGGGTCACATGAGGAACATTAGCTGCAATGAGTTTTGAAAATGGAGTGTTTAGCTTCCATGGCTGTTGTTGGAATGGGTGACAAACAAGTCCATCAACACTATATGCCACAAGGAGTAACATGATCGGATCTTTTTAAAAAAATGATACCTGCAGCAAAACAACTCAGACAGTATCACTCTTCTGTGTTCACGTGTGTCTGTTCCTTTAAGGCATATGGCAGTAAGCTCTATCACTCTCATCCCTTATTCTCACTGCTGTTTCTGTCACTCCCGTCCTTCTTTAAAGTCTGAGTCAGTTTTCCTCTCTGCCAAATCCTGCCAAACACAACACTGTGGATCACGCATCCAATAACCTCTCTTCTTAGATCCAAGATTTCCTTGTCTTTAGTGATCTCCATCCCGCTTCAGGGACCTACTCCAACAACACACCCCAGACCTTACTGCCACCTAGAAATCATAAATTCAGATCTCTCACTCTCTGGCTACAACTCCCATGCTGCCAACACTCTAAATGAGGAGAGAGGGCATAGCGCAGTGCTGGAACACATGCTTAGCACGCATGAGGTCACCTCCATCAAAAAAAAAAAGGAAATGAAAGAAGACTCATCTAGAGAGAACTGGTAAGCATCAGTGGCCTCCTTCACCTAAGAAAGTGAGAGAATTCCATCTTGGAGATATTGATACCAAGCAGAGTAAGCACATGGAGATGCCCAGAAGGGCTGAAGACAGCAGTTTGAAGAGATCTAGACTACATTTAGAACAAGCTTTCTCACATATTTTGATTTTCTAACCCATAATAAAGCTAATTAATCCTGACATTTAGACTTCAAATCTAAAAGCTGTCTTTACCAGATTTGTAAATATCAAGCCCACAAAGAATCTAGCACAGCATCAGCACATAGGAGATATTCTAGTTTTTTAAAAAGCACTAAATGAATAAACAGTTATCCTTTTTTGATGCTCCAGTATACAGTTCCACAACTATTACTGGGGGGGGGGAAGATCCCAAGTGACTTTCCCCTTCTACTATACACTGTAATGAACAACCAAATCTACACGATCTTGTCTTAGAGTCACCTCATTCTGAATTCATATGCTTTTAAGCTACATCTATTGTAGAAACATGTACATTCAAGACTAAAGTACTTACTCGGTAACCTTCGAGGTCTCTCATTTGGATCTGTAACAGAGAGAGATCCCTCAAAATTTGCAGATTATCTTTATCTAATTTGAGGGCATTTCGGTAACACTTAATAGCTTCATCATATTTCTTATCAGAACGCTGCAAGAGTCCATACACATGCCAGCCTATTAAGTTAAGGAAACAGACATTCACAGATACTAGAATATACTATGCTACACATCTAATATAAAGCTTACCTTAACAAAAGGGTATTCTGTCTAGGATTTACTGCAGGAAGATCTGGGATCGGAGGGAGGGGGATGGTAAGCAGGTGATAAAAGATGAAACCAGATCACCCTTGACTGACAACTGTTAAATTATTGAAGCTAGGTGATGGGCACATGAGGGTTCATTTTCCTATTTTTGTACATGTTTGAAATTTTCTACAATATGTATTTAAGTAACTGTAGAAAATTATTGGTGAAAATTCTTCACACTAAAATTCTTCTAGCCTCTACCCCTCACTTTTCCTATACCAGCACCTCAACATTCACTTATTCAACACTGTGTATGGAAACAGAATATATATAAAATTGCAACTATCTTTTAAAACAAGTATATATACTCAATCAATTATAAAACAACATGTAATGATCAGTTAATTCACTAGTGGTATTAAAGACCACAAAAATTAAGGCTTTCTTTAACGTATATTAAAGTCTTAGGATATCTGGAGCCAAAAAAACTATCATACTTACATGCCCTTTCTCTTCATTCTGGGGTAAGCACTGGGATAAAGAAATAAGTATTTAGTATTTTGAGAGAACTCTAGACTAAATACGTGAAAACACCACTAAGACAACTGATGATCAATACTGGCCAATAGCTGGATGAATTAAACATAAAAAATTAAGATACAAGGGCGATATGTGAAAAGCTTGTGAATAAGTAAGTAAAAAGGCAAAACAGACATTAAAATAATTTCAATGATCCCTCCCTAAAAAGTATTTTTATTTTTTTTTACAAACTGGGATACTAACCAAAGAAAAATACAACTACAGGTATCCAATGAAATAAGAGCTAAGTTCCTGGCAACAGAAATCAAGCAGAAGAACCAAAAATATAATATTTAATATTAAATAAAATCTGTGTTAAAACAAGTTTCTTCTAAATTTCTCTTCTAAAATTTCTAAAAGGAAATTTAAGGAACTTTTAAGGACCACAAACTTTACTATACAGGTAAGTCGTTATTTGGAATGGGGAAAGTACCACTCAATATATGGATGTATAGGAAAACAATAATGGGTTTCAAGTCACACATAATTATCAAAGCTCCTTTTCTCTTACGCTAAGCACAACTGATATATAGTGCATAGGGATACTCTTTAAAATATTCCAATAAACAAAAAACAAGGGGTAGGTAACAAATGAAACGAATATTAAAAATATTGATAATTATTGAAACTGAATAATGGGCATACCAAGTTCATTAAATTCTCTCTTCCATATAGGTTTAACTTTTTTCACAGTAAAGTTTTTTAATTTGAGCTAGAAAAAAACTAGTAAACGGAAAATACATAAATGAAATTAAATATTCAAGTACTGCAAAAGGATACAGACATGACTCTTGACATCATTACGAAGTCCTTTTCGAACAAATTCATATGCTTCTTCTTTTTTTCCTAAACAGTTCAATGTTAATCCTTTCATAGCCAATGTCTCTGAAAAATATTTTAGCCTCTATTTACACATGAAAGATTCAAATTATTCTCTTAACACTATTTTAACAGTATCAATGCTTATATTATTTATTCTTTTAATCCTATAGTTAGAAGAACTTCTTTCCAAATACAAAAAAGTAAAAGTATATTTCTGTATTTATTTAAAGCTTAGCCTGAGTCCTCTTCTGAAATTCTTTGGCTAGGACTGAGTTGGTAAAAAGCTCTCTGTCTATTTGAAGACTCTATAAAGGAGGTTAATATTATTCTGCTGAAAAAAGCAACACAGCAGAGTTCTGAGTCCTGCTGAGTTAAATCTACTGCAGGGGACCACAGCCTTTATCTGATTAAGAATCAAATCATCTGATTTATACCCCGCAAATCACTCAATCTACCTTACAGAGATGTATTCCATTGCACCTTACTCAATATTGGAACAGATATCATTTTTGGCTGCAAGTTTATTCCAATGAATTTCAGGTAGTCAACTTAACATCAATTTGCATTTGAAAAGCACAACACTGGACTATGGGAGTGGCAACTTAAGGATATGTTTAAGGTAGTTAATGAAAATGGTTTAGAATGAAATAATTATCAGTATAATCCACAAGAAGGAAATCAGGTAAGAACAATGGTTTTCAAACTGATCTCTGTGGGACTCTGTTTTTCAGAACATGATCAGCCAGCAGTCCAGGCCCCTCTGACCAAATATCTTATTTTATCTGTTTCTACATAATGGATTTCCCCACAAGCTCCCATTGGAAGAGTTCCATTGCTAAATAGCTTGAAAACAAGCTTTAATTTCTAAAATTCTATGAAATGAAGACTTCTTTCCATTTCCGTCAAAGAATGTTTAAAACATTATTAAAAAGCTGAGCAGGATCAGCCTATTTTCCAAATACGCTGGTCTCAAGAATTGTTCAAGTCAATATTCAAAGACTCAATTAGCTTTGCTCTGCTACAGGACCATAATTTACATGTCTAACCTGATCCATCCTTTTACCAAACACAGACCACAAGTGAAAAAGGATGAGACAAGCAAATAAAGACTTAATATTAACATCTAGGGTTGTGCTAGAAAAACCACCTGATATCCAATGGTAAATCAGTAGTATCATATTTATCTATGAAGGTCAGAAGATATATAAAAAAGACATCTTCCAAAACATAAACATTTAACTGTATCTTCACACAACTTTGGTGTTGCAAATATTGTACTAATTTTATACATAAGAAATTAAAGGATAAACATAAGTTCTAGTCAAAGGAATAAATGAAATCAAGTCTATAAGAATTACAAGTATATACTTCAATAATTCATCAATAGATCAACCAACCACTTCTCATCTAAAAGTAAAGATTTCACACATACCTAAGCAGAATACAAGTAAAGTAACCTAGAATGAGACTGATATAAGGCATAACTAAAAATGTTAAACATTTTTACACTCTAATAAAGAGCTACCAAGCCATGGAATCTGGGAAGTGTTCTTCTTTCACTGTTAGGAACCCTTTCCACCTGAGTTTGGAATTCAATTTCCCCAAAGTAATCTCTCACAAATGAGATAATACCTCCATGTTCAGCAAATTTTGGATTCGAAAGAATCATCTTGCAAAACTTGAGGCCATTTTTGTACTGCTTCTGTTCATAGCATTTCTGTAAAGGAATGCAAACAAAAATTATTATATAAAATGAATATACCTGGAGCAACTTTTCACCGCATTATATAAATTCTAAATTGAAGATCCAAAATTAGGCCTAAAGCATGAGACGGAAAGGTTTTATATCAATTTATATCACTTATAACACGAAGTGTATTTCTGTTACCTACTCCTTGCCAAACTGTTCTGGTATCTGAGTATTTTCACTTTTACAGAAAATAAAGAAAAAAAGCACTTTAATTGTCAACCAACACACTGCTGCAGCTTTCTTTTATTCAAAATCCGAAAACAAAAACCGATGTGATAACAACCCAGAAAAATACTAGAAACTGCATTAAAAGCCTTTGCTACTTCGACAATGGAACCTAGGCATATACACCAAAAAATACTGCCATTTATTGAGCAACTTATATGTGTCTGTACAAACCTCATTATAACTCATAACAACTGCTTAAGGTAGGTGTTATTACCTCTACCTTACAGGTGTATAAACTGAAACTTCATAAAATTTAAAAGGTCATAAAATTTGTTCATAAGTGGCTCAGGTCAGTTGCAAACTTTGGTCTGACTCCAAAGACCACCGTCTTTCCATCACCAGTCTAACACAAGTGTGAGCAACTTCTTTATTGCTAAATGCCACCAGCCAGGCTCAGTAATCAGTGCCTGTCCTCCAGTCATTAACCAGGATAACACCTCTCACTCTCACTTATGTGGTAGTGGGTGTTCTTTCTAGGAATCAACAGGCCAACCTTATCCCGGGCCTCTACACTTGTGTTCCTTCTACCTGAAATGTTCTTCCCCAGATCTTCCCACAGCTGATTCCTCATCACCTGAGTTTCACATATCATCCACCTGACCACTCACTCTAACACTGCCAGCCTCTCCACCACCCGCCCCCAACACACACACTCTCTGTCGTATTACTCTATTTTCTACACAGCCCTATCACTTCCTCACATTCTCACTTATTTTTGTACTTACTTAGTGTCTATCTTCCCCACCATACTGTGAGCTCCATGAGAACAGAGATCTTGCCTATTTAAAACATGGCTGCATCCTCAGGTTCTAGACAATTAAGTACTGTTTAATATCCAGTCAATATATACAGCCTTCTAAGTTCAAAGTAAAACAGCACCAGCAAAGGAGGAGAAAGTGATCAATTCTTGCAACACGGGTGAGATGTGGAGGGGAAAATTAGAAGAGCGTTCATAGAAAAAAAGTCTTTAAATTGAGGCTTCTTAATTGCCCTTGTGGAAGAGAAATTAGTGGTTGGGAGAGAAAGACAGGCGAGAAACCTAAATTTTGAACCATGTGAATATATTACCTATTCCAAAAATATTTAAAATAAAAATAAAAAAAAATCTGAGTTTGACTACAGGAGGTCAGCTGACAATGACAAGAAGAAAAAACAAGTTATTAGGGAGGAGAAAAAAAGAGAAATATTTTTTTTCTGCCTTATCAAATCATCTGGAAGTAAAATCATACCAGCAGTAACAGTAATACTAATAGTTAACACTTATTGGAAGCATTTACTATGTGTCAGGCACTGTTCTCATTTAACCCTTATTTAAACCCCAGGAAAGTCTATGAGATACACGTTAGCTCCATTTTAGATGCAGAGACTGAGGTACAGTTACTGAGTTTACACAGCTAGGAAGTGTCAGAGCCATAATTCAAATCCAGGTAGTCATCTCCAAGTATCCAAGACTTTTAGGTTAAAGAAAAGTCTTAAATTCAGTAAGGAATATATACTTAGTAGAGAAAATAGATTCTAGTTTCAACTTTGCTACCAATCAGACAGAGAACATTAGACACTTAGTCATATATCATTCCTGGGTTTGACTGTCTCATCTGTGAAAGAGGGAATGGAGTATTTCCAAAACTCAACAGAATATAGTGCTAACAGCCAGTTTGGAGACTGAGATGGGCAGATATAAGCCATGCGGAACATGTGATAAGCAAGCTAGTGAGTTAGTATGGCTGAGTTTGAGTACAATGATAATTAATTCAAAAAAAAATTACTGTTGCTGGCAAAGCACTTTGGCCAACCAAACTTTAAAGAATGATTTTATTATAGAGCCTTCTGTTTGCTATGGAATTTGGTAGAGCAAAATTTCACTCACATGTACCGCAACTGTGAGATGATAAAGTCATCCATTTCTGTAGCATCCTCCTAAAGTCACCTAACCTTATAATAAACATTACATATGCAGACAAAAATGTTCAGCATTTCCCAATTTATTTAGGGATAAAGTTAACTCAGCAACGGTTTTAGGTTTTTTTTTTATAACTAGGGTATAATAAATCACATAGCGCTTTTTTTTTAATACTGATAACATGATTTGAACTAAACAAACACCCCAGCAGAAAGGGGCAAAAAAGCTCACTTCTCCAATTCCATATTGTGTAAAATATAAGGGTATTAGAAAAATGAAAGCAAAATAAAGAAAAAATATATATACAAAGTCAAGTGAAGCAATCTGCCACAATGCTTTAACCAGATTTGTTGGTTTATACACCTGTTTCTCATTATTTGCTCAACACTAACCATCGTATAAAATTAAGACTTAACAATTCATCCCATCTCCTATGCATCTTTTTTTAAAACATTCTGAAGCCTAAGTGTAAAGTTTCTATTAGCTTGATTTCTAAGATTTTTCATCTGCAGTTGATAATACTTTTCTTGATTTATTTTTTTTATTTTGGGGGGGTTAG